TAAGATTTATGTGTAATCTACCTCCACATCTTCCTCCTCTTGGGATGAACATGTGTGTCCCCTTCCACCTTACATCTGCGTCTACGTCAGGTTTTTACCTTCAATTTAGACATGTGTTCTTTGTTATTTGTTAGTGTGGGTAGTTAAGTCAAAACAAAAAAATAAAATTGTTTTTGTGGTGTATATATACATCAGTAAAAGGTTAATAAAATGTATTATTTTTTCTTGCAATTCTTTTCTCTAAAATCCTTTATGGTATCAGAGCTAGGTTGTGAGAGAACCTAAGAAAATTAAAGTGATTTCTTAAAAGTTATTCCAAGAGAGTGGTAGAAGAACCTCACAGTTGGTAGTGTCAAGAAAGTTTGTAGTAAATATGGCTGGAATGAGAAATATAATACAGGGAGGCTTGCCAATATTTGATGGCAAGATGTTTGAAGATTGGAAGATCAAGATGTTGACTGTTTTTGGTTTCCAGGATGTTACAGAGGTGATAGAAAGTGGTCTTACGAAACCAGATGACAAATAGATGAAGAGAAGAAGAATTATAAGGTGCAACATAAACTGGACAACAAAGCCAGATTTTTGTTGTATCAATGCGTTGATTCAAAGATCTTTAATAAGATTTCCAAAGCTGAGACTGCAAAGGAAGCATAGACAATTCTGACAAAAACATATGGTGATGGAAACAAACACAAGAAAGTCAAGCTGCAAGCACTAAGAAGAAAGTTTGAATTTCTTGTAATGGAGGAAAATGAAACCATTGCAGAGTATTTTGATAAAGTTCAGGAGTTAGTAAATGCTATGAAATCGTGTAATGATAACATTCCAGATCAGCATGTGGTAAACAAAATATTGAGATCTCTTCTTCAAAAATTGAAGAACCTAAAGATCTGGAAACTATGGAGGTTGAGGAATTGCAGCATTCATTGGAGGCACATGAGTATCGTATGAGTGAGCGCATGCACTATCAAGAACAGGCACTTCAGGCACGATCCCAGTACAAAGGGAAGGGAAAAGGATTCAAAACTAATAACAAGAGTAACACCAAGTACAAAGAATCACAAGAACAAAAAGATGAAGATTCTGATGAGACTTTTGAACGCAAGAACTACAAATCTTGCACCAATTCTGCTGGAGAAAAGGAATGGAAGTAATATTCTCAGGATTCCTCCTTACTTTAACATCTATTTATTTGAATTTGATAATTTTTCTTTTTCTTTTATTTTGCTTATAATTTTTCCTCCTTTTTTGTTTATACTTCTTGTCATCTTCTTTCTTATATGAGATTACATCTTCATTCAATTTCACTTTCTTCATCAACATATTTCTTCCTTTATCAACTTTATCTCCTTTGTTTCTTTCAAACTTCATGGTAGTACTGTTGACTCTTTGATGGACGTTGAAAACAGTTTCTTCATCTACATCTTTATTTTCCTCCTTAATATCAAGTTCCTTCAAGAATGCTTTTTCTTTGACTTTTCTTTTATATCTTCGTTTGTAATCAACTCTTCATTCATCAAATCTAAAGTGAAACTTTTTTCTTTCATGTGAACTTGAATATTTCCAAGTTATTTGTATCTTTAATTACACAAAGTTTGTGTTCAAAAGATACCTTATAACTTTTCTCCAATAATTGAGCAATACATAACAAATTATGGTTTATATCAGGAACATATAAAACATCAAAAATCAATTTGATACCTGAATGACTTTTAACTGCAATTGTTCCTGTATCTTTCACATCCATTTCTTCTCCATTACCAATTCTCACTTTAGAAATATGTGATTCGTTGAACTCTTTGAAAAGTTTTCGATCATGAGTCATGTGGTTTGTACAACCATTGTCTATAAGCCAACCTGTGGATTTGTTGATTGTAGAGCATGTTGATGCAAGGAGAAGTACCTCTTCTACTCTATCCTCTATAACTTGAACGATTTCCTTTGGTTGTGATTTGTATATCTTTTCTATATGTCCCAATTGAACACATTTGTGACATTTCACATCAAGTCTCCACCAACATTTGTTGGATGTGTGATTATTTTTCTTGCAATAAGGACAAATAGAAAAGACTCGTGATTTTGTACCTTTGTTGTTCTTGGCTTTGACAGAACCTTCATCATGATATAATAAAGAACCTTTACCAGCAGCATGATTTCCTCTCATCAATCTTCGTTGCTCTTGTGTTTGTAAAGCGTGTAGCACTTCTATCAAAGTAATATTAGATAAATCTTTTGTGTTTTCCAATGAAGCAATAAATGCTTCATATCTGTCTGGCACAATTACCAGAATTTTCTCAACTATTCTGGAATCAGAAAATTTTTTGCCTAACAATTTTATTTTGTTAGCAATACCCAACAATTTATTTGAGTATTCATTAATTGTTTGAGACTCTTGCATCTTTTGTATCTCAAATTCCTTTATCAAGTTTAGAACTTTCATACCTCAAATTTTCTCATCGCCTTCCTATTGATCTTTCAAATAATCCCAAATTTCTTTGGGTAACTTTAGCGTCATGATTCTGGTGAGGATCATTTGTGAAACACCAACAAATAGATATGATTTAGCTTTTGTCTTTCTCGTTTTTCTTTCTCTGTGAAATTTCATTTCAGCTAAGGTAAGATTTTCAGGCAGTGGATCAACAATATAATCTTCTTCTACAACTTCTCATACATCCAATCCTTCAAGATATGATTGCATTCTCACAGCCCATAAGTCATAACTTTCCTCAAAACCTGGAATAGCGACTTGTGAAAAATTTCTTTTTCCTTCCATTGTGTCGAACCAAAGCTCATATACCAATTTGTTGACAATTTTTAAGGTTTTGCGTATATGTATTTCTCATATATCATGTGGATATATTTTTATTCATATACTTTATGTATATATAAAGTAAAAATATTACAAAATATTAAATATCAATAATATCTCAATCATAATTGACTAAATCAAAATAATAATCTAATGTCTTTTTACCTTCTCTCTTAAAATATAATAAAATCTCTTCATACCTAATTTAAATAAAAAATAATAAGTTAATATTCTTAATCGTTTCGCCCTCTTCTTTCTCTCTCACTATTCATCTTTCTTAATACATACATGACAGACTCCAAGAGTGGAGTCATAACTGGTCCAGGTGCTACAGCATTTGCACGAATGTTTATCCTTTGCCCACTCCCATGCTACGTTCTTAGTGAATTGATTCATGGCTCCTGCATTAAGTTATATATATTTAGATAAGTATCTTCTGCCACTCATTTCATTCAAATTCAATAAGATAGATTCACAGTAATATACGAGGAAAACTAGAGCAGATTTACCTTTAGAGGCAGAATAAACAGATAATACTGGAAGAGCTTTTGCACCTGCAATGGATGAAATAAATACTATGCTTCTATATCCAGATTCTATTAGAAGTGGGTGTGCAAGTTGAGTCAAATGATAAGCAGACTAAAAATTCACACCCATTACAGTTGATATATCTTCAGCAGTGTGATTTATTATTTTCTTTGTTACGTCTATCCCTGCATTGTTCACCTACTATAGAATCACAAATGAAATAACCTCAAATATAAAAATGAAAAATGTCAGAAAACGAAGAATAATTTATTGAGAAGGCCTAATAATAACGAAGACATCGTTATATCGTTGAAGAAATTCAAAGCTACCATGTTAGATGCATTAACTGAATTTCTTTCTATATAATTCACCATTTGTAATTTATATGCCAATAGCAATGAAAATAATACAGGCTGCTCCTCAGATCTACCAATCTTATACTTTCTTAATTTTCTTTGGAGGAAGGAGAAAAAAGAAACAGCTTATGGTTGAATCTTACTAAAATGTTGAGCTTTCCATGAAAGATGGAGGAGACAGTTTCCATAAGTGTTTGGCGTTGGTCACGGTGGAACACATCACATACTGAACCTGTCACATTGAATCCCTTGTTTTTCCATTCCTGTAAACACTTGTCAATGTCATCTTGGTTTCGGGAACATACATGAATAGCTGCCCCAAATTCTGCCAATTCCTCCACGATGGCATGCCTAATATATTAAAAATGAAAAATAAAAAATGAAGTGAATAAAAAGCAAACTAAGTCATATGTCCCAAATTAATGAGTAGAAACAGGAATAAGGAATGAAGACGAACCCTATGCCTCGGGTGCCCCCTGTTACAAGAGCTGTCATGCCATGGAGTGACCACCTGTTGTCCTTCACGAGGCTCAACTTTGTTTCACCCATTTTTTATGCTAATCTATGAACTTCCTAATAACGAAAATTGTTGTATTCAGTGAATAGTGAATAGAATGAGACCCGACGCAGAAAGAAGAGTTGTAAATATTCAAATTCGAAGATTTTGTGGCTGTAAATGATTTTAATCTTGTCACCAACTGTGATGATATATGTACAACCGGGTTTGGAAAAACATCCTATCTACAATTCAATTTATTAATATAATAATTATAAATGAATTTTATGTAAATAAAAATAATTTAAAATTATTATTATGTTATTAAACGAAATTGTTAAACGGAAGTTTGTAGGTACGAGCTTTTTAATTTATCTTTTCCGAATCATCAAATACATTGCCCTTCACATGTGACCTACTAATTTCAGTTGCACTCTTCCTTAAATCTATGTGAATAATAAAATTAATAAATGTAGATAATAAAATTTATAAATAAGAATATTAAAGATTCATAAATATTTATATCATATCAATTATTTTTATTATATATATATATATATAGATTTAAATCGTGTGTAACCAACAGAAACGTAGTGAAGATAAACAAATTAGTGATGTAAAATTCCTGTCTTTAAATTAGAAAGTAATTTTTTTTTTTAACAATATCATCATATATTTATAGAGTCATTGTAAATAAATAATTATGAGAAGAAACTAGACAATGCTGAAGAACATAAATGATGGAGAATGAACATTGGAGTTCATTGAGCAAAGTGGCTCACTTGGTGTTTGGAAAATCACTAATTGCAATTTAAGATGTGTATCCACCATCTGCACATATAATTTGTCCAGTAATGTATGATGCCGCTGGAAGACAAAGAAAAGCAACTAATGATGATATCTCTTTGGTCTCTCCCATACGTCCAACAGTTATTTTAGACAAAACACCAGTTACGAGCTCTTTCCCTTCACTTCCAGAATTCTGTATAGAAGAATGGAAATTGCTATGAATACATGAGTGCAATAACATCATACAAAAATGCGAAAGAACAAATTGTCCCGATAATCATAATACAAGTAGGTCAATGATCGGCAGCTTTATTATGCTTGACCCCTCGTCATCTTTTCCTTTTTTTTCTCTCTCAATATATATATTTTATGTAGATTTTTTTTTTACTTTGTAATAATATTATCTCTCTTTTCCCTTTCTTGAGTTTATATGAGTGTGTTATTTTTTCCTTTTACCTGTATATTTTTGTTCATTTCTCATATGATATTAAAGATTTTTGTTTTTTTAAGAGCTCTACTAAATCTTTCAATTTGGTTTTTTCCTCATTCTTGTTTTTTTTTTCTCTTACAAGGAAAATTCTTCCTAGAATGATGAAGGTTCTCGTTAGAATTCCTCGTTTTTCTTTTTCTCTTAGATAAAGAAAATTCTTCCCAAATCGATGAAGGTTCTCATTAGGATCCCTCCATGCACAACTTTCTTTATTTTCATTCTAATGAAAATCTTGTTATATTCTTAGTTTGTCCACCTCTTGATTCTAACAACTACTATTTATAGAGTCAATTCATGATGACTACTTTAAGTGTCAAGAACAAATTAGAATTCAAGAATTTGAGAATGAAGTCTTGTATCAAGCTTAGAAAGGATGTAATAGCATGGTTGTCAATGGAGTTCTTAATATGATTGAATGATCAATACAATTACGTGTGATCACATGTTCTCTTGATGGATCTTGTTACGCCTATTAACAAAAAATTTTCCTACATCGTACAACAAGCAAGAGAGATAGTTTAGTGAAAATGTTTTCATTAGTTGAATTGATACAAGAACCGATACTTCCATTATTAATGATAATTATTATGGTAAACTCGGTCACACCGAGAATACATGCTAAAAGAAACACAAATATCCATTAAATCAAGAAAACAAGAATTTCAAGAATGATCCGAACAAAAAGGTTTGTACTCATTATGGGAAAAATGGACACACTATTAATGTGTTACAAAAAGTATGGGTTTGCACTCAATAATCGACTATATAATGGACATGAAATCACACTACATGTGACTTTCTCAACAACAATACCAAATTTTGATGTTCATTATTAAATAACACACCAATAATAGTTCTTCTTAAGTCAATCAAGTCAAAACTTCATGTCTTATGATGACAAAAGTAAAGGTAAGTTTTCATTCATTTTCAATCTTATAAATGTTGAAAATAAATAATCCTGGATTATTGATTTTAGTGTCATCGATCGTGCTATCTCTTCTATTTTAAATTATTCATCATATAAAGAAATTAATCATATTATAATCTAACTTCCTAAAGGTCACTATTGCACATCTCGACATAGTCAAAATTAGTGATATACTTATTCTTAAATATGTTCTTTTTATTCCCTCTTTTATCTTATAACCTTTGATTTTAATTCTTATTTGATTCAGGAGTTATAACCAAAGAAAGGATTGGTTTATAGCTCATCAAGGTTTTCATGTTCTTAATTATTTTGGTCGATTTATTAATGTTTGTATTCTTGATAAAGATAATTTTTGGCATTCTATACTCAACTATCTTATATACATGGTGATACAAAAACTGATTCACTACAAGAAAAAAACACATTTAGCCACCGAAATTAGCGACCGAATTTTTTCGGTCGCAATTAGCGACCGATTTAGTGACCGATTTAATTTTGGTCGCAATTAGCAACCAATTTAGCGACCACTTTAATTCGGTCGCAATTAGAGACCAATTTAGCGACCAAGTTAATTCGGTCGTAATTTAGCGACCGATTTAGCTACCAAAATATGATTTGGTTTCACTTTTTTATTTAGCGACCGAAATAACGACCAATATTTTGCGTCGCAAAATTTCGGTCGCTAAATCGGTGGCTATTCCATACTAAAATAAAAAAATCATTTAGCGATCGATTTAGCGACCGAATTACAAATTAAAATAGTGACCGAATTAAAATCGATCAGCTAATGAGAAAATAGCGACCGAATTTGAAATAGGTCGCTAATGAATATTATTATTTTATTATATTTAAATTTATTTTTTTATAAATATACTTTAATTGTTTTAGTATATTTTTTACAATTTATCTTTTAAAAGTAATTTATTTTTTAAAAATAATTTAATTTTTAAAATATACTTTAAAATAAACTTTGGTCTCAATATTAACAAAATGAATTGTAATAAATCAAATTTATTAAAAATTTAAATTGTAATAAATTAAGACTAGAGTGATATTAACTATTCAATACAATGTTTAAGAAAAGTTTAATAACAAATATTCTTTAATTTATTTTTCAATTGAAAATTTCAATTAAAATTAAATTATATTTTAAAAATTTATATCCAAAAAATTAAACACATCAAATTATCACATTTTAATTCCTCATTAACTTAATTAATTAAAAAAATACAATTTTAATCAAATTATTACAATTTTATTTTATAATACTTTATTTTTAATCTAATTTTTAAATTTATTGCTTTATTGTTATTAATTACTTAATCATGGTTGTTGTCATATAATTGATATACCAAAAAATTTATATCAATATACATTAGATAATAAATATATTATTTAATTAAACTATTTATAAAAATATATTTATCTTTAGTTAAAATATTTTTTAGTTTAAGTATACTAATTAATATTTTTTATTTTTAACATAATTAATAAAAAAGATTAAAAATTTAAAATTAATCTATTTTATAAATACTAAAAATAAACCATATTTAAATAAATGAAAAATATATTTAAATTTATATTCAACATAGTTAAGGTTGTGCCTTTTTAAACTTTATATTCAACATATATTTAAATTTATATTAAAAATAGTTAATATAAATTAAGGTTGTGCCTTTTTAAAATTTTAACTTTTTTATATATTGGATTTTCATTAAAAAAATTCTAAAATTGCATAAGAAAATAGAGATTTAATTATACTTTTAATAAATTTAAGATAATACTAGTTTTTATTTTTATTTTTAAATATTTATTTTAATTTTTAAAAGAGAGAAACTATAATTTTAGTTTCTATATACTAAATTTAAAGAATTAAATTTATTATTATTTAATATTTTAATTTTATTATTAAAAATCTAAATTATATTTTATTAAATTAAAATAATTACAATATATTTTTCTACTTTGAGAATTAAAAATATAATTAAACTAAAACTGAAAATATTATAATACATTTTTGAACTCTTTTTTATAATATTTTTATCATTATTATATTTTTGGATTAATTATTTTTTTCCTAATTTTTTATAAAGTCAATTTTAATATTTAAAAGTATTTAACATTTTGAATTCTGAAACTTTTTCTCTATTAACAAATTTAAAAACATAATATACTAAAAAAGTATTATAAACAATTATTTCATCCAAATTTTTAATAACATGATAAGTCATCAAATTCAGTATATAAAACAAATTTAATGATGGATTAAAATAGAACAACATTTATAAGAGACTATTTATTTTTATTGATGATGGATCAAAAGTGGAAATACATTTAAATTTATAATTTTATTTATGAAACACATTTAAATTTATAATTAACGAAAATAATGAAAATCTTAATATAATATGATACTTTTAGTAATGTATTTTTTTATAAATTTAAACTTACTTTTTTTAGTTTAGTTTTTAAATTTTATGTATTATTATTGTTAATTGATATACTAGAATAAATTTATATAAAAATAGTCTTTATCTTCAAAATTCACTTCTTCAAATACTATCTTTATATTTTTCTACTCGTTTCTTTATAGTTAAGAAGATCAACATTTGTGCACACACTTAAATATAATATAAAGTAAAGAGTATTTGTTTATTCTATTTTATTTCCAATCTATAATTTGACGTAAATCACTTAGAAATGTATTATATGTTATATTATAGAAATGAAATTAAGTTATACTTTGGAGAATATATATATATATATATATATATATATATATATATATATAAATATTAAAATATAATTTATTTTTAAGTTGATAATTATTATTTTTATTTATGTAAATTTTATATATAAAATTAATTTAGAGTTCATATATGTAATTGTAATTTATGTAATATATATATATATATATATATATATATATAATTTATATAATATATATAATTTATTTAACATTAAAAATAGTTATATTTTAATTAATTTTATAATTATAATTTTCAAAGTATAACTTAATTTCATTTCTATAATATAACATATAATAGTGGTTCCACGTGGAACCGCTATTATATGTTAACTTTTAAGAGCGGTTCAAGTGGAACCGCTTATCTCACCACATATTTCATTATGATCGATTAAATTTTCAAATAATCGATTATATTTGAAAATATATAATAGCGGTTTCAAGTTAACCGCTATTATATTCTCACTTTTAAGAGCGGTTCCAGTTGAACCGCTATCATATCTCAAGACATATTTCAATATTCGATTATAATTATAACTTTTAAAAAAATTATAACTATAAAATTAATGTTAAATAAATTATATATATTATATAAATTATATATATATATATATATATATATATATATATTACATAAATTAAAATTACATATATGAACTCTAAATTAAATTTATATATAAAATTTACATAAATAAAAATAAAAATTATCAACTTAAAAATAAATTATATTTTAATATATATATATATATATATATATATATATATATATATTCTCCAAAGTATAAATAATTTTCATTTCTATAATATATAAAATATATATATATATATATATATATATATATATATATATATTTTAACTATTTAAAAAACTAATCGATTATTTCAAAAAGTAATCTATTAGTTTTTTTATACTTCATTTTTTCATACTTGATGATAATCAGTTATTTTTTAAATAATTGATTAATTTTTAAATAATCAATTAGTTTTTCAAATATATATTAAATAATTATAAATAAAAAAATATATCAACTTAAAATTAAAAAAAAATATTTTTAAATTATATATATTACATAAATTATAAATATAAAGTTAAAAAAATTATATTTAAAATTATAACCTTAAAAAAATTATAATTATAAAATTAATAAAAATATAACTATTTTTAATGTTAAATAAATTATATATATTATATAAATTATATATATATATATATATATATATATTACATAAATTAAAATTACATATATGAACTCTAAATTAATTTTATATATAAAATTTACATAAATAAAATAAAAATTATCAACTTAAAAATAAATTATATTTATATATATATATATATATATATATATATATATATATATTCTCCAAAGTATAACTTAATTTCATTTCTATAATATAACATATAATACATTTCTATGTGATTTCTGTCAAATTATAAATTGGAAATAAACATTTTTAAAAACTCAAATTATAGATTGGAAATAAATCTATAAAATTTTAAAAATGATATTATATTTTTAAAAACAAATATTAGAAAAAAGTTTAAAATCATGAATAATTATATTTATATGTCCAAAATATTAAAGATATCTACATTTAAAAAAATACTAAAAAATATTAAAAGTTATACTTTAAATTAATGAAAATATTTAAAAAAGTTATATTTATTAAATTATTAAAAAATATTTTGTAATATATAAGTTAAAAAAATTATCATTAAATTTTTTAAAAATTATTAGTTTTGTAATTTATATACAATGAAAATTATATAATGGTATATTAGTATATAAATATATAAATATATAAATATATATAAATATATCAATATATAAATATATCAATATTTAATATATATATATTAAAATATATAAATATATTTGTATCTATAGATTTTAT